GCCAGTACAACCACCAACTGCAAATTGTCTACATTCAGTTGTTCTCGCAACTTCTCGAATATCTCGATTATGACCGTCGCTTTGATTACCTGCAAGAAAACTACTCAAGAAGAGCCAGAAAGATGATCTATGTGTATTCCCGCTGGTTTTCGCACTGTCTGAAGTGAGCAAGTAAATCGAAAAATTGTGAAAAGGTCACGTGAACGTGAACCTAAGCAAAAATGGTAAAGTTACACTAGAAGTGAAACTGCACGGAGCATATCGCTCAGAGGGAAAACAGCTCCGAACATATTTTTTGAAAACACAGAAATTCGGAAGCACAGAAGATTCGGGAAATCGCTAGAGAACCTTTTCTCACAGTTCTTTTGTTTTCTGGCCTGCAATGTGAAAGCTATGCTTTCGAAGAACGAAAAAATTACAGAGACCAAAAGAATAGAGGTCTGCCAAGACCACTTGCGAACGGAATTCAAGCTAGCGGTTACTCCCGCTCACCGGCCACTTACCATTGAATCACACTTCGTGAATAACAATGCGTAGATTTCAATAACGAAAAGAAGGAATGTGGGAGAGATGCACTGCAATGGAACAGACACTATTAAGGACGGTGAACACAGCTACCAGCAGAGTGGCGACTATCGAGAAATGCACATCAGAGGCAGCACGCTTCACACGGCATTAGAAGCGCTCATAGTTGGGGAATTATGAAATTGGCGACACAGACCAGGGAGTATATATTGGTTGACTCGGCCGTTCAGAGTGAAGTCTGTATTCAGCGATTCCATGATTGTAGATCGGGATCGATGAGTATTCAGCGAATTTCTCTATTAGGCAATGAACAATAACTTTCAAGATCGCATATCAGCAAAGATACCGCAGCACGCAATGCGGACGCGTACAAAGGATTAATTACAATCCATTTCACTTTATACGCCTCGACAGGAAAAAAGAGTGCTATAATAAAAGGGACAGCCATAACCGCTCACAAATATATCTCTCAAGGGAGCCGTGAATGTGACAGCGAATGTGACAGCTGTGCAGAACTGTTAAACTCACATGAAAATTCAGCAAATGTGCGATAAAAACAGCACTGTTCTCCAATTTCTTGTCGTCTAGAGCTTGAGCTTGAGAAATTTGCTCGACAAACTCACGCAAAAATACTTCGACAAAGTAGGCAGCTGAAATTTGTTCGTTACTCAATTGCAAAAGGATTGTTAAATGAAAACGGCAGTAACACTCACAAATTTCTTCACTGGTGAACGAATGGATCTGGGCGAGGAACATTGCGTATAATGATAGCAGCTG